ACTTTTACAATGCCATAAAAAAATCTAAAAAAATCAAATAAAATCTTGAATGCTGCATCAAAAAGACAGCATCTACAACACACTGGCCTTTTAAACAGAATGATTATGTCTTGGCTCTAACCCTAGCTAATATTAAAAATGAACTGAAAAGTATACGCATCAGGTTGTGGTCAGCTCCTGTCCATGAAACTTTGTGTAAAAAAGTTGAATATGGGCTGCGGGCTGAACATCTGCAGGCTTTCATTTGAAACAAACACCATCTGAATGTACTGATTATCACTTTCTACCAGAGCAGGTAAAACAAATACAGAAGATTAGCTTGTTTCATCTTAAAGTAATGAAGGAATGAAGACCAGTGATGCAGAGGGCTACATTTTAGTTTTAACAATTTCTGTTAGATTCACTGATTACTGGTGGGCAGAGCATCACAAATGAATTCAACCAATCCCCATGTCCTAATATTAACTTCACTTATTAAGATTGTTTATTGGCACTTTGCTGGTAACATTAGACTCTCTGTCACTATATCAGTGATATCAAATTATGTGCCAAGAGGCTACTTTTTACATTTTTTTTTACAGCAGCTAAGTAATAATAATGAAAATAATAAGAAAAAGAAGCAAATTTCATGGATTACAGAAGGACAGTATACAAGAAAAATGAAATGAGTTTGACATAGAGAAACACCTGCATGCTATCGGTCCCTTCTGACCAGACCTGTTGTGTGGCCGCCTGCGTGTTACGCTGCAGTCAGCATTCCCTACATTTACTCAGCTCACCCACAGAGGGCCTTGCCTTTAAAAGGAAGGGGCTCATATTCTCAGCTATGTTTATCAATTCCAAGGTGGTCTTTTAAAAGAGCCCATAGCCCTGCTGAGAGAGAGGGAGAGAGAGAAGGAGACGGCTGAGATAGAAATAGTATGAAGGTTGACGGAGCTTGGCAGGAGTCAGTATGTTCAGCCTGTAATACCACAACTTATAGAGACGTTATAGACAAGTTTCCCTTGTCGGTTTCTAGAGGAGCTGCCTCCACCTGCTGGCAGGCAAACAACAACTACAGGAAAACAAAAACCAAAAAACATTTCATACATACAATAGAAAATGCATAGATATGTAGTATGAAATAAAGCAGTTTTTTTATTAGTATAAAATTTATTCAAAATCCATTTTGAAAGTGGAGATGTTATCTACATATACAACTACCATCTCTGTCTGCTTTTAACTCAAATACATTCAAAATGTAGAAAGTTTATTTTTGTCTCCACAGGAGATTTTCAACTACTGACCTCCACAGATTATTATACTGTACTTCAAAAGATTTTAATGAACTTATTAAACCTTGACATTGAAAATCACAGACATTATTATATGACTATACAGGAATGTAAATGAAATGAAAGATGCATTAATAACAAGAAAGCATGCAAATAAGGTTATTGCTAAATTCATGCAATGAAATGTGAAACACTGCTTTACTACTAAATAGGCTCACTGTTAGTTCCATTGTTGGGTCTAAATGAACTCTGGTGCAGTACATTAGTATAATGACAAACAAATATTATTGTAATTCAAATGTTCACACTGAATAAGTTAATTTTATGTTTCTAAAGGAAATATCACTTTCTGTGGGAATCACCACAGGGGATAATATACTATCACAGTTGAACAGTTTTAAGTCCCTTAAGGAATATGATTGAAATATCGTACCGTAAATACCATCCTGTGAAGGCTTCACACGGTTTAGTTTAGTCGATATAAACTCACTGTTGAGCAGCTCTTACACACACAAACACAATTCTCTCGATAAAAATGACAGAACTATCGGATTCATTAAGGTGATGACATTGTCTTTTCCTTCCACTCAACAGACTACAAGGAGGCCTTTGGTCTGTTTGACAGGGTGGGTGACAACAAGGTGGCTTACAACCAGATCGCCGACATCATGCGCGCTCTGGGACAGAACCCCACCAACAAGGAGGTGACCAAGCTGCTGGGAAACCCCTCCGCTGATGGTGAGAGAAATCTTTAGGTCAAAATATGTGTGGTGATGTGGTTTTGGTAGATTTAAAGCTTTTGGATGTTAAGAACAATTCATTACATTTAAATTTGATGATTTGATGCAAAATTATTCTTATTAAAAAAGTGCAAATTTTTTATCTTCCTGGCACTGAAATGCTACAACAGACTATAGGTCATACAAGATACAGTACTACCTCTAGTCCTAGTCTCAATATAATAATTATTTTTGCTGATTTTTGTATTGATATAACCATGATCTGCAGTGTACCAGTCATTTCTAGCAGCACTTTAAAAGAAACACTGTTACAGCTGATCAATTGTAAAGAGGACTGATTCATCATAGGTGATAAATAGAGCGTGTGTGGTAACCAGTAATGTACGGTTCTCTCTCATTTATCACTGGTGTTCATGGTGTGATGACTGGTTTTTGGTACATACAATGCAACAACAAATAATCAGTAACTGCTTTTGAGGCTGGAATCAGTCATGTTCAGTCAGATCAGCCGAAAAATGTGTTATTGAGAGAACATGTGGAACAGATCCGTCACAAAAATGTCTCAGAAATAAACTAAAATCTCCATCTTTGAATAAACAGCATATTTCGAGTAAATACCAACAGGTTGAAAATCCTGCATGTGCTGCCAGCTAGTGGTTGAAATTGTAACCCTGCTTAACACTTAGTCACTGCTGACAGAGCCACTGCCGCAAGTTACACAAACGTCTGCAAAATATCAGAACAGGACAGATCACATGTGAAAAATAAAGCAGTAAATAAAACATGCATCTGTCCAAATATGTCATTTTGTCACCTGGAGAAAAGTATAACCTACAGTGGAAAGGTGAAGCAATATTGTTGTTGAAATGTGTAGACAAGGATTTTGTCCACATGGTGCTTGTTGTCTCAGACCTGCCTGCCTCTGGAAGCAACTGACTGTCATTTCTGTCTCCCCTCCCGCAGACATGGCTCACAAGAGAGTAGAGTTCGAGGGTTTCCTGCCCATGCTCCAGACCATCATCAACAGCCCAAACAAGGCAGGATACGAGGACTACGTTGAGGGTCTGCGCGTCTTCGACAAGGAGGGCAACGGCACAGTGATGGGTGCTGAGCTGCGTATTGTCCTGTCAACACTGGGTGAGTCACGCTGCATCCGTGGTGTGTTTGTGTGTGTGTGTCACTGTGTGTTATTAATACTGGTTGTCCTCTGCCTCCCCCTACAGGAGAGAAGATGACTGAGGCTGAGATTGATGCCCTCATGGCAGGACAGGAGGACGAGAGCGGCGGTGTCAACTACGAGGGTGAGCCACAAGTTACAATATTATGATGGATGCTAATGTAACACTTTGTTATATTCAACACTGTATTAGTTTATATGATAAATAATTAGTGTATATTCATGTTTTTATATCATTTTAAATGGGAAATCCACCAATTTTACACTTCATCAGTTTAGTTGAAGAGTACTCATCACTTCCCCTTGTCTCTCTGGTTGGGGAGTTGTACACAATTTGAAAAAATAACCCTGATTATGTCATCATAAGAAAATATGCTATTTAGCTGCATTATGGGAAATGTAGGCTTGAGCATTACTGGAAAATGGCCCATACTGGGGACAAAAAGTCGGGATATTTTGACCTGTGCTGCTTGGATTTTGACGATTCTTTTTGAATCTGTCTCTTGTGATTCCCCCATTTTTGTAGAAGTGTGAGACTAAATTGCTGGAGTGACCCTTTAAATGCATACTTAAACCACTTTCCACAGATTTTCTAAATAAATGAATATACTATAGATTATGTATTGTGCATAAACCTAGCTGAAGACATTTTATTGTGCTGTGGTTAATATTATAGATGTTTCATGTCATTTATAGCTCTACTCATTTGAACTTTCAAGTCTAACAAATCTTTCAATTATTTTATTATTAGTTACTTCTCCTCACTCACTAATTTTTCCTTTTCTTCTGTCCTCTCTCTGTCCTGCCCTGGTCTTCATCCACAGCCTTTGTCAAGCACATCATGTCTGTGTAAGGACCCTGCCACTGCAGTGGTGACCATCGTATATGTGCAGACCCCATGGTGTCACGACATCCACTCACTGTTTCCTGAGGAAGCAGGGGGGAACAAAGGACTATGAGATGTCATTTCCTGAAACCTTTTGTTTCGTTCTAAACTTTTTTTTTTCTCTAATGTCCAACTGGTGCTTTTTTTTTCTCTCCTCCTCTTACTCTTCCTGCTGTTCAGGAAGCCATCCCGGTTTCCCATGAGATATTTCTTTACGCATCTTCGCCCTAGTCCTCCTGTCTCATTGGGTTTTTTTCCTTTCTTTTTTTTTAACGTCACTGGTTTTCACAGTGGAACAGTGATGGAGGGGAAGGTGGGATAATCATTATCCCCTCCTGTCACTTTACTGTCTGGCTGGCTCTCTATCTGCCAGTGAAGTGACTGGTCTGGCCCAGGACTGGCCGTCAAAATGAATCCACTCCTCACCCAACCCATCCCTAAGTCTTAACTTATTGTTTCCTCTGCCATTTCACAATAAAATTTTCACTAACTCCCATTTTATTCCTGAATGTCGGACTATTTATTTGATGAAAGTCATTTGCATAATGAATTCACCCAGAAGCGTGTTAAAGGAATAGTTAGACATTTTGAAAAATAGTCTTGTTTGTTTTCTTGTGAAGGTAAATGAGAAGATTGATAGCACTCTCATGTCTATTAAATGCTGTATGAAGCTACAGCTGGATGGCAATTAGCTTAGCACACAACTTATCATTTTTATATGTGTTTGTATGGGTTTAAACAAATCGTGCTTGTAGGTGACTGTTGTAACCTCTGGACAGAGCCAGGCCAGCTGTTTCTCTAAAAAAAAAAAAAAAAGAAAGAAAAAGGAAACGATTTCCCAAAATGTCAAACTCCTGCTTTAACTCTATGTCTTGTCATCCGAAAACACACAGCACTCCAGCATCAGTTTTTGTCCTTTTTATTGTCATTAATTATTGTAATTGGTGTCATATCAACAAGAGAAAAACTGCGTACATCTACTTGACCTTTTAAATACATTTACAGTTGCTGTAGGGTGGAGGCGGGGAGGGGGCACACGGAGATGGGGAATGCAGAAAAAACACAGAAGCAAACAAACAGTCGCAGGTGAGGGCAGTATTGAGGCAGGAGGCAAGATATACCACAGATGGTGTCTGAAAAAGAAACTAGATCGACCAAACACTTTCCTAACAGATGTAACAGTTGAGTTGACTGAGTTCCTTCAGTCGTTTTATTTTTCTTCATCAAGTGTCTTTTTAATGGATTTTTCAAAAAAAGCATTTCCCATTTCTTCTCTCACATATTGCAACATAACATCCAGATACGGTAGCATCCGTGGTAAAACAACATGGGCTCTGCACCAAACGCACACACACACACAGACATTTCAGAGTAGCTGCTCCTCTGCTAAATCTCAGGTTGCAAACAGTAGCGACTTCTTCTGTGGTGCAGACAGGAGACAGTCCCAATTAGTGCAACATCAGTCTGTTAGCGGAGAAACGTCTGTATTGTTCAATCATGTAAGCTGAAAAGACAATATACTTTGAGCTGTTTCCTTTTTGGATGGATGTTTGTGGAACGAACTCCAGTTTTTAATATTGTTCTGAAGTATAAACAGGCTTCTATATTGAACTACTGAGCAGGTACAAGTGTATGATGCTCGTCAACAGGACTGAGATGCATTCCTTAGCAACACCAAATCAGCTGTCTGACACTGTCACCAAGCATTACACTGTAAACAACTAATAACTACAAAACATGAACTTGTTTAATTTTTATCCAATAATTGAGGAAATAACTTACTAAAATCCTTTTTTTTTTAAATTACAAAATAGCCTCTTTTAATATTTGAATCAATACATGCTTGTCATAACATAGACCTAGTTCTTGCAATAATGCAATTTTACAGGTATATTTTATAGCCATATTGTCACTTCCTTTTAAAATGTTCTGAGGACATTTAGATGGCGAAGAACTTGTATTTTTATACATGTTTCTATATATATTTGTTAAATATATCATATTATATACTTGATGACAAGAATGACTTGCAGTAAGGATGCTTGGTTTGTTAGGTGGTTTGGCGTCCATGCACGTTTACTGAGCAAGAACAACATGTGCTGCATGGTGTGCTGGCCACATTACTTCTTATTTTATGTAGAAAAAGGCAATAGCTTCTTCAAAACACTGATCCAGGGCCAGTCAAGCCAATACCTGGTCCTTACAAACTTAATCTTATCTATGACCAGTGAGTGCTCAGACTGAACTATTCTATGCAACATCATTTAAAGAGAGAGGCCAACATAATGAATCTGATATAACACATATTCAGGATCAAAATAAAGAGGACCAAAGTACCGTAGCTCCTAATTTGAGTCCCTACTTAAAGTTGAGAAATGGATCTTGGAGTGGAGATGTTCAGAGGCTGTGGTTTAGCTGAAGTTGGCCTCTAGGTGGCAGGAGTGGGCAGAAAGAGAGAAAGAGAGTTTGAGGGAATCAGGCTGAGGATGTCTGTGGTGCAGAGGATGAACCCACAGATCCAGTGTTCACAAACCCTGCTTAGCCAGAGCCGCAGTGACATCCTCAGCCAGGGTTGCTAACTGCGGTGACTCCATCATGTTGAGACTGCCGGAGGAGGAGAGGTGGCTGTCCCGGTGGCGGTGGGGAGACACAGAACCAGACAGGCCTGGCGACTGGATGACGATGTCAGCTCCATGGTCCACTCGGGCCTTGGCTTGGTCGCGAAATGCCAGCCTGTGGCTCTCAATCTATTAAATGTAGGTGGTGTGATGGGAGAAGTGTATGGGGAAGAAGGCATTTAAAATATTTATAATTATCATTGTGAGTCAGCTTTAGCACAACTGCAAAAAATAAGCACAATTTAGGATGTTTGAATTAACTTCTACATAATTTAATGGTAGAGGCGTATACTATACCTTTACTGATACCCTCAAAGGCAGATAAAGGAAAACAAGTTTTTGAAAGATTGGCCTGTTGGAAGCACATTTATATATATGTGTGTGTGTGTGTGTGTGTGTGTGTGTGTGTGTGTATGTGTGTGTGTGTAATGTATATTATATAGTTAGATTGAAACTTAATCCATTTTAGCCTCCCTGAGTTAAATTATGGCTATGCTACATATCATTTAAGATTACAGAAATATTCATGGACTAGGGTGACTTTTCTCTCTATGTTGTTTTCACTGTTTAGGTAACTTGTAAAATATAATGACAACTGAAAAGTCTACACACCATGACTTACAGAGAAAATGTTATTTATTATGCATGTGCTGTATGTGTCGTTATAAAGCATATACCTATATTCACTAGTAAGACAATCTCTCAAAAACGTGATGTTTTCCTTTAAATCATGGTTTGAGGGCATGGAGCTGACACTCACCATGACGCGGCCTCCACCAGGAGTGTGGTGAGCATTATCCAGGGAACCCACCTTGGCTTGGGCCTTGTCTTTGAAGTCCAACTTCACACTCTCTATACGCACGTTACCGCCCCCTGGGAAGAAGTAGAGAAAATGTGAAAACTATACAGAAATATTGACTCAAGTGACTTAAGTTTTTTCTACAAACCCTGGTCTGGAGGTTTTTGGAGGGTTTATGAGGAAAAGGAATGTGCAATGCTGACCATGTGTTTCCAGCGAACCCTCAATAAATAAAGGTAGTAAAATAAAGGCTCAATCTGTAAGGGGCCAGCAGATGGAGCTGCAGGACCTGAAGCAGTCACCACAAAATCATGTGGGAGTGGAAAATGATTCCACACCTCACAGCGAAGCAGCAAGTACTCTGGAAACCTGTCTTAGATACACACACTATCAACATAGTATCTGAAATCATTTCAGCACTGTATTAAAAACAGGTCTGCAATGTATTTGGTTCATCTGAATTAAAAATGTACATATACTTATTTTTACCTGTAGTTGTCTGATCATACAGATTTGGATACAATTGCAAAGGTATTGGCAGATCTGCCACTGACAGTCTTACCACAACCTCAACACAGTGGATGTAAATAGAATTTAATTTGAGGCGATCAAAGCTTAAAAAACTTAAAACTTAACAGTGACTTTCCGAAACCAATGTCATCCTAACTAGCTATGTACTATATCTTGCTTTAGGCTTACTCTGTGTCCTTGGCCAGTTTTACCTCTGCATCATTTGATCCCATCCAGAGCAAACATGCTCTCTCTCACTGGTAATCTTTGGTATGTTGTATCTCAGTGATGATGAATGACGTCACTATGAAGTTCTTACCCTTCAGAAAGTCTTGTACTGGATGATAAAATGTGACTGAGAAAACATTGTCCTCAGTCCTTCCCTGCCTGATGAATATCTGAGGACTGAAGCAAGTCATCAACAGTGTACATGGTTTTTGTTGGTTCTTTCACAATCAGTGATTTGAATGAGGGGTTCCAGGTGGGTTCCAGGTTTGACCCAATTTAGCTGATCAACATTGTGCTTCACATCCACATTCACACACAGGGTAGAAACAAACAGAACATGGCAAGACTGCCAGAAACCACAACACCTCCCACATTCTGCCACCTGTGGACAGATCCATCGAGCTGTCAATCCAAATGCAGTTTATTGTGTCTTCCAGTATTTTATTTTGTAAATTGACCATGGTCCAGATCAGTACTGGAGCTTCATTTGACTGCTGTGTTGCTTCAAGGGATGAATCTAAATGGCAGCTTACATTTATTATTTAGATTGGATTAAATTACACTTAATTGTCAGTTTACAATCAGCCACAGTGCATCAAATTTTATGCCTTGCCTTCACATTCAGTGTCTGACATGTACAGGTAAACAAGTCTAAGAACAACCACCTGTGGGATTCCTTGGCCTCATTTATCCTTGGTATTAAAATGTGATCTGTATCTGGTTACATTATCTGGATGATGACAGCTGATCCATGAAAATGCATCTGCACCTAGTATTCATATGCGTTGTCAGTATCTCCATTCTGCCTTCACTGCGATCACATGTCAAAATGCAAGCAAATTCAATTTGAAATCATTTTTTGAGAGGGAGGACTTATAAGGTACCACTATTACTCGGCCAGCCACCTTGAGCTAGCAGGAAGAAGTGGAGTTTGGTGACCTGTCAACTTTCTGGGCTGATTTTTACTTAGGAATGTGGTCAAACTTAATGGACTGCGTTTATACCTGGCTGAGATCTGATCACAGAGTCGCATTTAACTTGGATTACAATGGATTTTTTTTTTCAACCAAGTACAATATCCAGGTACAGATCCCATGTTAATGATGGACACAAATGGGGTCCTTGAGTCATGTTAGACTACCAGATGGGTGTCAAGTGTGACTGGTTGCCAAGCTGTGATTTTCTATGCCTTGCAGGTCATAGTTCATTTGGGTGCTTTCCACACTACTTGCCTGCCTTTGGCTTCTGGCCGACTGTGCTTCTTGCCAAGATTCACTACTTCTTAGAGAAAATAAATGAGAGCCAGCGGTCTGCTCCGCTCATTGTATTCTCAGTTTTTTCCTACCCTTACACACATTTCTCAACTGGAAATTGTGGCACTGTAACCACAGTCTGAACTTGCTCCAAGCAGTGCTAAAGAGTGCTGGACATCCCCCCACATAAATTCATATCTGAAGGTAAAGGATTGCACTGGTGACCTTTTGGTCATAAGCAGGCATCTCTATCCTTTATTCCACAGTGCCACCCCTGGTGCTACCCCTCAGTTCCCCCCGAATGAGTGTAGACTGAAGGTTACCTGGCCGATGATGGATGTTGTCTAGAGAGCCACACTTGGAGGTCACGTGGCTCAAATCAATCTTCTTATTCTGTATCTGCACCTGAAAGAAGCAAAGTCAGAAACAGACGTGGTAAAAGCTCACAGTTCACAATGAGGCAATGAGAGTTGATGACTTCTGCTTCTGATCTGCACTAGATTTAGGTGTTGTTTAAAGAAAATGACTGGGTATAAACTAGGAATGAAAGGCTGCAGTTTCTACATTCTGAGACAGTGATATCTAATTGCATGTAATTATTAGAAAAACACAAGCAAGACAGCGCAAGAGCAGAATACCAGTGACTATTACATGACAGTCCTGGTGTTCTGCTGTGCGGAGAACTGCTGGTGCCTGTTAAACCGACGGAACCAAGACTGAATACAAACTGCGTGAGTGCTGGGACTGTGTTTTGAGCTAAAAATGTTTTGGCGCGTTCAGAAAACCTGTCTAATATTGTATATTTTACACCACAACAGTGACCATTCAGTGTGAGACAGTTAAAAAAAAAAAAAAAAGAACGACTGCACACTTGAAAGTGGCCACAGGCAGAGAGTAGATAGGGAAGTGCAGTTATGTGACACACCCTGGGGATCTGAAGAGAAAACCACAGAGAGATATATAAGGAGTGAGCCGATGAGACAGCGAACAGAGCAGAGCTATAAAGCTTTAGACACAGCACAATGGACAAGAAGAGATACACCACATCCTGAGATGAATCACTGGGTCACGCCTGTGGTCAGCAATCACTTTGCCAAGTGACTGATTTAGTTGATATGCCTTTTGTAACCAATGATTTGGTGTTCTTTATTTTCTCCTCTCTTAAATAGCCTGAGAGGAAAATGGTGAGCCACGCAGATCATGAGCCACATAACAAACCACAACACCATGTGCACAATGTACAGAATGCGGCTTAGCCTGTTCACCTGCCAGGCATCCCTCACACATGCAAAACACTAGCAAAGAAATGCAGCATGAGTTTACAGACAGAAGATGAGATGTGGTTTGTGTCAACGTGGGTGAACAGCAGGCTGCAGCTTGACTCGTCTCTCCAGCAATGATATCTTTATGATTTACAGAGAAGATTTATAAAATCTCATGATTTATAACAAACTAGAATTCTAGTATCTAGTAATCTAGTATTGATTTTGGTTTTACAAGTTGATAGAAAGGGAACGTGCATGCTTAACAAATATAGGCCTACATTATAAAATATTAAATTTTGCTTCGACTACCCTTGGTAAACTTCACCTAGGTAAACCATCAGGCCCAGTCACACTGGTCTGTCCATGCCCTTAAAACGCACGAGAGGAACAAATGTATTGTCTAAATTTAATACATGAACAATACAATTTGGTAAAAGAATGGCGAGTAAATGCCACTTCTCTTGAAAAAATGCAGACTTGTATGTAGAGTACTGTGCAAGAGGTTTAGGAATGTTAGATGTTTAGATTCTTATCCATCACACAATACCAACAGGGAGACATCTGATCGGTCCCAAATTTGTTCTGCAGCATGAAAACAACCCAAAACACACAGCCAGACTCATAAAGAACCATCTTCAGAGATGAGAAGAACAAGGAGTCCTGCAACAGATGGTCTGGCCTCCACAGAGCTCTGAGCTCAACATCATGGAGTCAGTGTGGGATTACATGAAGAGACAGAAGACACTGAGACTGCCTAAATCCACAGATGAACTGCAAGTTCTCCAGAGAAGCTTGGAACAATCTACCTGCCAAATAAGTTGAAAAACTGAGCACAGGTACACCTGGGAGAACTGGTACTGTTTTAAAGGCAAAGTGTGATCACACCAACTATATATTTGATTCAGGTTTTTTCTGTTTCTTGCACCTTTTTTTTTTTAAGTTAATTGATAAATAAAAAACAATTCTTGTTATTATTTTTGAAAGCATCCTCATTTTAGTTTTAGACACCAAAACCTTTGCACAGTACTGTATATACATATAAAAGAACCAAATTATGAATTTTAACTGGGCCATATATTAGGGCCTTTGCATGTACCTTTCTGACTTTCCTCTGAATGGAAACTGTACTATATCATTCTGTCCCCAAATTTCTAAAGCTGTGGAGATGCAGTCCAGTGACTGGTTCATTCAACAACTTAGCCACCTACTCTGTGGCCTTCAGCTCCCCTTGTTACTCACCCATTTCATGAGGGCCCTCAACTCTGTCATGTGCCTGCTATAAAAAGCTGCAAGAACTGTCAGTTGGCCAGCTGTGATTTAAAGTGACCAGTGTCTTTTGTGCCATTTGTCACTCACCGTGGATTGATGAGATATTTGTCTAGCTGTTGAGGCTAGATATGCTATTTGACTATAACACTGTGCAATTTTTAGTTTTTATGATTATCCTTAAACACATATAACACTATACAGTTTAAGAGAAAAAGGGAGTGGTTATCCCTTTTGTTTGAGTTTTATTGGTAAGATGAAAGTAACCAAACAGCTGAGGTTTATTTCACTTTTCTTTTGGGGTAAGCAAGTTTGGTAATTGCTAAAATGTATAAAATCAATTATCTTCTGTTTATCTATTTGACTGCAGCTAGACCAAACATGCCACAGACAACAGATGTCTCTTTGTGTTTAATTAGTGTTTCTGTACATACTGAAAGACCAGTTATTATCATGTTTACTGTGCATAACAATATACAATGTAGAATCACAATGATCCTCATAGTTACCAAATTAAATAAGGCCACAGCAAAACTGGGAACACAACAGCTTTCTATGGTTGCATAATAAATGTGATTTTGTTAAAATAACAAATTCTTGTTTCTAGTCACACTACTATGAAACGTAACCATAATCGGTTGCAATTATAAAGGTGATGCTTCTGGCACCGCAGTTGTTGGAAAGAAGGCGTTGCAGGCAGTTGTTATCCACGGTAACCCGGATTTGTCAGACGCAAATAAAAAGAGGTTTGGTGAGAACAGACTATTCTGAGGGAAGTGGCATAAAGTCAAGAGAGAAGTTTTAATTGTCTCATTATTATGAGGCTTGCATAACGGTACTTTGATAATGTGCATCACACAAATTAGAAACTGCAGATTGAGCACACACTGTACCTGCTGCCTTCAAATGGCTGTAATCGGAGTTAATCAGCTAAGAGGGAAGTGCTTCATGCAGTGTGCTACCTGTGGAGGATGAGACATGCTGGCAAGAGTCTTGCTAGTAATAACTTGAATCATTTTTTCTATGCATTTAGACTTCTATGCATAAAAATTTACCAATGCTAAAAAACTACTTTTAGCGCAAAACAGAACAACCTTTGTACAAAAAGTATAGTCTTTACATGTAGAATGCTGCTAGAGTCGTGAATGTTGTCAAGTGCTGGAGGAGGAGACATTCAACCTTTTGTATGAAAACTCCTCGCAGGACACAAACCACTAATGGAGAATGTTGTGTTGAAAACTGGGAAATTGTAAAGCGAGGTGAAAAAAAGGAAAAGGCAACGCTGAAAAAACACAATACGACAAAACACAGAAATAACACTGACATGAACACTGAGACAGTGGACTTGTGGCACAAGACTCACGTTTCCACCTCCTGCTGAGTAGCCCCGCCTGTCCAAGGACCCACACCTAGACTGAACATGGCTATAGTCCAGCTTAACACTGGGGATGAGAACCTGCAGGGGTGGAGGTCAGGAATAAGGTGGGAAAAGGCTCGGGCTTTCTGGCATGGCACTTCACTTTAAACATCTCGTAAACACTTTGTATCTTTCCACTTAAATAGTCTGTCCTAGACATCTGAGTTTGTTTGGCTCTAGTGAACTAATACCTGACGCAATGGTTGCCATGTTGCTTCCCCTACACCATTTAGTGGATACAATCACTCTGAGCTAAAAGGCATGACAGATTCATCTCTACTACGTGCCTCACAGCATGAGCTTTGACCCTACCGTATATGTGCTACAAATGTGCTACATCTGGTGACTCCTCAGTGGATCCTCTTTACTCTGTGTCTCCCTCTAGGAATCAGCATAACATAACATCCTATGAAAAACGGGATCCCCAGCAAAAAATGTTGCTAAGCTTGCTAACTGAAGCCAAAGCTAGTTATTGTACCTTTGAGCCCCTTCTGTGGGTAGTAAAAGGCTTTGGTGCAGAGCAACATGACATTTAAAGATATTGCTGCAATTAATTTGTTTTTATATGGATTTTGAGCCAATAAAACAAAAAGGAAACATTCAAAAAATCTTTACTTCACAAAGTGTCACTTGAGAAGATACTTCAAATTTTCCCTTATGGTTTTGCCTATCCTCTGTTCAGATTTAAAATACAAGTAAATGCAAATCAAAGGCAGTTCAAACTTCAGACCGCTAGGCTGCGGGGATAATAAAAAAATATGACTGCGCAGAGATGGTAAACAGCTCTCTGTAGCTGCAAGGAGAGAAAGCAGGAGTGAGATGCAGACATAGCAGAGTTGGTACATAAACACTAACAGTTAAATACATTTTTCCCAGCAGAACAGTAAAAGCGATGGAAACTACACTGGAGAGAAAATAAGACACACAGAACAAACATGTCCCAAGCATTTTTGCATGAGGAGAGGAGAGGAGAGGAGAGGAGAGGAGAGGAGAAGAGAGGAGAGGAGAGGAGAAAAGAGGCCATGAGGTGTGTGAGCCCTGAACTGTTCTATATTTTCTTCAAAATAACTTGATCAGACCAAAACAATGCCTTGTTCCACCCAGTAAACAAGTGGGTTATTCAGCAGCCAAACAGCAGAGACACTAACTAGCAAACAGGACCTTGTTGGTCGTAAACTGATTGTGAGTCCAGCTCCCAATTAGCACAGTGCCTGCTGTTCTGCCATTACTTTCCCCTAGGTCTATGAAATATCTGATGTGCAGTTAGTGTCTATCTGGTCAGAGAACAAAGGCATGAAAATAAATGAATAAAAGGACATTACCATAAAAATTCTCCCCAAAGCTAGTAATGCATTAGTAATTAGAAAGAAAAACGGTGCCAAGCCATTCTTGCATTCTCTACTGAAACACTTCTCATTTCTTTACAACAATTAATTAGGACTTATGTTTTATCATCTGTTCCAAATTAAAATAATATAAATGCTTTAGGTCTTTCTTTATTTTGACTACAACCTATTAAAATGAACAGACAGCAGAAGAGTCACATATTTAACTTATATACTTTTATACAATAAAATTTAAATATCAACTGACAGGGGCATACCTCATGCTAAAAGAAAGGTTGTTGTTCCCTTGCTGGAAGGGGGGGGGGCATGAGGGAGCACGAAAAATGAAGCAAAATTTTACTTTGTCTCTGAATTTACTTTTATAAATGTTCATCTGGGCAACATCTAGAGTCAAACATTATACATGAAACAAACTAACAGCCCCGGTGAAATGGGAATCAGAGCCATTTCTAGGGTAAGAAAGAACACAATTAACTAAATGGTAGACCCACTACTAGTCTCTGGGACAATCTACAACAGCTGTAACAAGACAATGCGAAATAACTGTCAGACTCTGATACCAGACCTAAGATGTATAGTATGATGAACTAGATTTAATGGAAAAACTAATTCAAATTTAACAATCACAGTGGCACAGGCACATTTCCTTCTTACTTAGCCCCCTCTATCAGTGGGACTTTAAGTGTCTTACTGAGGTACACTTGAGCACAGCAGACGTTTGCCAACACATGGCTTTGGTCATCTGGCACTCTCTAACCATCAGGCCACCTTGGTGCCAGAGAGCTGAGTTATTCTGGGGTTTATGGCACTGCTCTCATGGCAAGAAGGTGGCTAACATCAGGAGCTGACCTACAAGTTGCTGTGCTTTTCTGGCGGCTTATGGGTATGTGAGTAAAATATGATAACATTTGTACAACTAAGATTTAAAAGTGGCCTTTGTTACCCACAAACTGAAAGTGAAAAGGGAGATAATGAATCATATCTGAGTTTCTAAGAAAGAGAATCAATACACAAGTGGGAAAGGAGGATTTCAGGGTAAAATACAAACTGAAGTACTACGATACTAGACCACAAAGATAGCTATATATGCAGCCAGGCACAGCACAACAAGAAGCAGCTTGCTGCATGTAACTTAACTTTTAATCAAACTATGCAGTGGGATTTTTTCAGACAGACTGACAAACAAGAATTAAATATGGCCATCACCCATTTCCTCAATCAAGGAGGGTAAAGATGGAAGGGTACATACATTGGCTTCACCGGGAGAATGCTTCAGATTATCCTTGGAACTGCATTTTGATAGTATGTGACTGACGTCCACCTTCTTGTTTAATATATGATTCTATGGAGAAATACACAGATAGCATGGACCTCTTACATGGTGGATGGGATTCAATACTTGTTATAAGACTACCACAGGATAGTGATGAACAATGAATTGAAAAATGTGAAGTATGAAATAAGTCTTAAAGAATTAGCGTGCATGAGAGATGTTGATCATGAGCATCATTTACTTTGTGTTAATGCGACATTACCATTTAATGTGTAAAAAAACCAAATACACCAGGATTTTGGGAAGTTGGCTCATTAATCATCTATCAGCCACATTGATTATTTGCTCCAGTTCTCTGTGGTAAAACTTCAGCACAATAATGAGTATATTATAATAAATAAATCACTAGCATTATATCAAAAGAAAAGATGGTGACTAAATTTGTATCATTTTCAATAACCCTTTCTGCATATTGACATTTTAAATTTTTATTTTACTGCTGTGTTTACCTGTGGAGCATCTACAAGTTCCACCACTTACACTTTATTTTTTCACTCCCATCAAGTTTAAGTTGAAAAACGGCTCAGAAACTTGGTGCATTCCTTAAATTGTTAAAAAAAACTATTTCTTGAGAACTATGGATCCTTTATATTCATGTAAGCACCTTAAAATCAAATCAAGTCTAACCCACAGGGCAGGATCTCTGATTGGCTTGATCCCACACTTGACTCCTGCCTAAACAGAACAGCTCCTGCTGCTGTTCTGTGAGTTGGACTGGATTAAATATTGAAAACTCAAATATTAAATCATCATGTAAAGAAAAAGTTAAGAGTTATAATTTGACAAATTGAGTTATCTCATTTAATATTTTTTTTTATTTACTTGGGCTTTATGCCTCATCAAAATGCTAATTTAATCCATCAAGAATAGTCTTTCAAATTCATAATTGTTTACTGTTATCATTGTGTTTCATTCTTTCAGTTGCACACTCGTATCCAGGCCCTAAAACACACTGTGCCATATTTAACAGTGCTGAGGTGTACCAGCAGGTCTTGGGTCCAGGTCACACTCTGTGCCCCTGACAGACACAGAGTAACGGAGATGAGGCGCAGCACTGACTTCCAGATCCAAGAGGCCCTGTGTTTGGCCTCTGTTGGCATATTTTGGTCCTTGTGCTTCTATGAGGACAATCAATGGACAGGTCAGTGGCTGAGGGAGGCTCACTACAGGAGCTGCTTGGACATAGGAACTACTTGGACCTGCTTGCGACTACCAAAGGTAAGGAGGGAAGTATTTTACTGTCGTATGAAAGGGGCTACTTGTATTTTATGTGTGACTAAAATAAAACTGTGTATTTAAAGAATTTTATCGTCCAAACTGAAATCCAACTGAAAGACTAATGGGAATTGAGCTCGAAACATGACTCTTCTTTTTCACACTCTGGAAATAGGAGCTTATTGTGACAATAGCTTTATGCTACTGTACAGTAATATTTCAGTCACAAGCAACACAAGACAGACAAGTGGGTTGAGAGGAGGACCATGACTGAACCAGCTTCTTTATATTCTAAATTTTCTAACTGCGTGAGCTGGAACTCAGAGTCTTATAAGCGGCTATTGTATACCCATCTCTCACTGCACTTTCAAAATATAGAGCTGTCGAGGAAAAAAAGGGAGAAGCGTACTGAGGAATGGGAGACTGAATCTTGTTAATTTAAGGATTACCACCCTACCGTTCTCACCTGATCAAGTAGCAACAGTACAAAATCCTGTAATTTCTGTTAACTGCTACCAGCAGGTATTTTAGAAGGATATATGAAAAACTTTACTTAATCCTGCTGTTAAATGTTCATTAATGAATAAACCATTACACATAAAAATTATCTGTATGGTAGAGAATCCTAAATGTTACTTTTAGGGTTGTTCATACTGCAGCTATCTAACATTTTTTACTGTTGGCTGAGTTGATGTCTAATTGATTATGAGCGCAACCTTTGCTAGCACAAGACATTGTATGCATCTTGCATCATTTTGGTATTATTAAAACATGCACTTCTTTCTTGGCTGAACTCCATTTGGAACAAATTAATTATATTAACATAAAACAAATATCTTTTGACTAACAAGTTATCGCACCATTCACAGTTCATAGTAAACTTTTTCGACATAAGTTATTACAGAGGAAATAATTTAAATTGCCATGTACATCTAATGAGAAGCTAACCCTCTTACAGGACACCCTGTGTTACAGGTAACAAATGCACATAAGTGTTTAATGTTCACAGCCAAACATAAGATGACACGCAGTGGGCCAAAATTATGACTCAATCATGAACCAATCATTTTCACAGCCACAAGACTACAGACTCCAGTGTAGCACTTGGTGGGGAACACTGGATTACCTACGCTGTCAAGGTAAACTCTCACAAATACTCTCACTGCATAAGGTGACATTTAGCTGCACAATCCTCCAAAAAAAAAAAAAATCACACCCAAAATAAAAGCTGGGAATAAAAGTTTGTAAGATTCCTGACACTAAATGTCATCTGTCTTACTCTCTGCACAGCTATTACCCAAAAGAGATTTGCATGAAAAGCGAAACATTGCCAGCTTTAGCATTGTCACCGATTATGACCCAGCATGCATGCTTGCACACACAAACACACATGCAAACATGCACAGAAACTCCACTCAGGCCATTTCTCCTGCAGATGACAGGGAGGCGTTTGGAACATGATCCCTCCCTATTTTGTGGCTGGCTGCACAGAGCAGTGCAGCGACCTGGCAAGTCATAAAGATGTCAGCCAAGCGCTTAGACTCCTAATCAGGTCATCAGTGGAGGCTTGTAAGAGCTGATGGCTACAGACACATTGCTGTTTTCATTACTATGCTTCCTGTTGCAGTGCTGACTTTGTGTTTCAGAACAAGATGTTTGTCAAACTGTAGGATATACACTCCCAAACACCCTGCTAATGCAGATTCTGTGCAAAGAAATTCTGTGTGATTTGAAATGCAGATTTCTGCTGTGCAGAAGTGTTGTGTTCAGTTCACAGAGCCTGGGGGAGAGGAACTGAAGGGACAAATATGGCTCACAGTTTTGACAGTCAATGCGATGTCACAGTCAGGTCACTTCTCTGTTTATTGAAATTTGAGGCCAAAGAAATGGCTAATTAAGAGGCACGAAATGACATGAGTACAAATCTGACATTATTGAGGCCTGATTTTTACTTCTTTTCAATATAAAAATTACGGTGAAATCATACTAAAAAACTCCCCATCTCAGCTTTTATCCTCAGGATCCATAGTATTGATCCATGAATGGCAACACAGCCATCTGAACTGAGATACATTTGGTGTTTTATTTGTATGATCATAATAATGTTTAAACCATTTTTGACAAGTGAACAGCAGGCAGAGTCTATATCGAATCCACAACAAGAGTACCTTGATATACTATAAGCAAACAACTGCTTGCTTATTTTATACATCCAGAGCAACATGGACAGCCTGATCTTTTGTCAATGTTTAGTATTGGTTTGGTTCATTTTGGAGACATGTGTTTTCCTGCTACATGCTCAGCTCTCTTCACTGACACCTTTAGTCTGGCTCTCTGCCATTTCACACAGGGCAGGAAACATGTAATCATGTGTGTGAACTCACATGCTAGGAACAGCTGCCCATAGTTGCATACAGGGGCACCAGTAGGAGTTTACCATACTGACTGGAAAATCAAACAATGAACTGAAAGTGGCTACAACTCTAAAGGACAGCAGATCTTTGTATTCAATATCAGTATCATTATTTAAATCAGTGTTAATATAAAAGTTATGGCTTTAAATGAGTTGTTCTATGCTAGCCCTTACCTTGAACCTTCAAGTATTTGAAAGTCTGAGGAAATTTGGTATTTTTTTACTGTAATTTCATAGATTGTAATTTTAGTAAAATGGTGAAAATATTCATTTTAATTCTTAACCTTCTTAGTTTAAGTGAACATTCTGTGTTTAATAAAGGCTTTTGAGAATTTACTTTTTTTTTTTCTTCCACAGAACACTCTTTGTCTTTTATACTAGTGAGTCAGCAGGATGACTGGAGGGCTAACAGTAGAAAGCAGCAGCTAAGAAACTAAAAAAGACTATGAGTGTGACACAGGTGGGACAGAGGAGCCATGGGAAATAAGCATATCAAAGCAGAAGAAAAAGGCAGAAGATGTTACACAAAGAGACACTTTAAAATCCAATTGGTATCAAGTTTGTTAATGCTGGCCTTGGTGCATACCAATGGTATATAGCCCACGGATCTACATGTACACCGATCAGCCACAACATTAAAAGCAGTCACTGGTTTTAATGTAGTGACTCATCGGTGTATATGGACCTGAGGGGAAACTGGTATAGTTCTTTATATCTGCATATTTCCTGGACTAACAAAAATAAACTTCTCAATGACTATCTATCCCTGAAATTGTTAAACAGAGATGCGTTGTACAAAGAGAAACACATTAAAACCAGTATAAATAAGAATGCAACATTGCAGAGGTGAAAGAAATAAACAAGTATTTAGTCAGAAGCTACAGGTTTTGTGGGGAAGTGTGGTAGAAGAGGGTCACCTGTCCTCCTTTGGGCTGGTACTTGATATTCTCTGTGGAGCCGATCTTGGACTTGACATTCTTGAAGTCAGGCAGTGGCTGGTTAATGATGCGAAGCTGCTTGGGTGTGGTTGCAGGCGACTTGGGTGGGGTGCGGACTACTGCCACCTTCCTCTCCTGGGAAATCAAGCTGAGGGAGCGAGGGGTTCCAGGGGTCCTTGAGGATGATGAGTAGCTGGGAGGGGTCCCTGGGGTGATGGCTGTGGAGCCAGGAGTACGGGGGGTGGAATGGCCACTGCGAGCCGAACGGGAGCGGACTGATTCTGTTACTGGTTGGAAGAATTTAAAGGGTAAAAGTAGGAGCTGAAGGTAAAGAGGTGCTGTATTATATTGCAATTGTCATAAAAATAATTTAACATGTTTTATAATAAGAACTTCTCATTATGGATGTTTCGTGTTAACCTGAACATCCATTGAGGTACCAGTTTACTAAGACTTGTACAGCCTAACACAATCCATTACAATAATCCTGTAGAAAATGTTTTGCTATCACACTGACAGAGGTATAGAAAATCCCTTCTACCTGTCATGCTAGGGGCTCGTCCTGTCCTATGCTCTGCCCTCATCTCAGGGCGAAACGCTACAGAAGGCAAAGGAGGAAAGGATTAAGATTTAGCTACAAGAACAAAGAAGAAAAAAGGGGGAGATTTGCAAGCAATCAAATCCCACTTACATTCACCTGGATCTGTACTAAAGCAAGTTATGTTTTGATAAAACATCAAAGACAGTGAGATATACTGTTACATGGAGATGGTCAAGAGAATAAGATGAATAAGCTTCTGATCTGATTAGTACAGAATGAGTGAAGCAAATGAAAATACAGCAAGGAGAAAGTACATACAGTACATCTTGGTTTAGTGTGAGCAAAGATAAAACAATGGCAATTTAATTTCCACCATGCACATCTCTCATTGGCACACTAAAGCTAGGGTTTGTTAAAATAATCTAAATGATATCTAAATAAAATGAAGAGGCTTTTGAACTTAATAACAGATCCCCTTAGAATATGAACATAAAATGTCAGGCGTGTGTTTATCATTTTTCTTAAAGATCTTTATATTTACATTAAAGCAATCATTTATCTGCTTTAGTATAATATATGCTTTTGAAAAGTTATATTGGTTGAATCAGTTTTGTTTTGACTCCCACTGGAGGATGTTGGTTTTAGGCTACCTAATGCCACCTGAATACTGATTCTTTGTAGTGAGTGAGTTGATTAAAGGAGCTGGAGCCTACATGTGGGTCTGCGGGGAGCAGTGGAGCCAGAGCTGGTGATGGAGGTGGAACTCTCCTCGTGGTCATGGTACCCACGGCGACTCAGAATTGAGCCGTGCCGCGGCAGAGAGGACCTCTTGTCTGGGCTTCGTGATCCTCCGTCCTGTTGGCACAAACCAGAGACAAGATGAAAATCCTTAGGCCTGTGATTCATTTTTGATAGGAGGTGAAACAGGTTTACATGCAAAATATTACAAAATGGAAGTAAGTTGTAAACAAATCATGTTAATGTTGTTCTTTTCAGAACGCCAGAACTTCAGACCTGCAGCTACAGTGCTGCTCTACCAACCACCTACCTTGGCTCTGAGTCTCTGTAATACTGGGGAGCCTAGAAGCTCTGCTGAGGATGGGCGAGGTCTATCTAATGAGGCAGTCACTCTGGATATGGAGGTGGGGATCTTTGTTAGTGGCAAACGATGGGCATGGCACTGAGATGGCACAATGATGCCGCCCGGTGGGTGAGTAGCATGGCACCAAATACAGGACATAGGGTGACAAAAGAGTGGTGAAAATAACAGTGCTTCAACATGCATTATCAGTGCAAAAGATCTGATGTACCCTTTGTAGGATGAGGAATGAGATATTAACACCAGATCTTGTGTGCTTAGCATCTAATGATCAACAAAACAGGCATACATGCACATTCATTTTGAACATATCCCAAAGAAATGTAAACACTGTGTTCATCCATTAAAATGCAAACAAAAAACAAAGATACTGTTCACCATGCCCATGCAAGATTTCAAGTTACACTGCAGACCACAGTAACAGATGTATTTGTAGACTTTAAATAGAGAGTGTAAATCAAAAGTGGAATATAATGTGGGCTCAAAGTGACAGAATACACTACACAGTATGCTGTAATGACATGACATTTAAGAAATGCAGAAACCGTGTTATTTTAGACACAATAACTGTCATTACCATGGTGGAGGAGTAAAATGGAGTCACGACCACAGCCGCTGGTGAAATGTCACAGGGTGATTCAACACCCACTCAGTAAAAAAAAAAAAAAAACATTCTAAATGGATCTGTCTTATCTATTTGTGCAAAAACCCATTAAACAAGGCAACAATAGCAAACAAAAAGCAACAGCAATCGACCAACATAAATATTTTTTTCATTCAATACAAAGGAGAAGTGGTGTTAATATAGAATGCAATGTACTGTTTTTCATGCAGCGATTGGGACTCAGAAAGAAGGCACACAGCACTGGTTTAAACCGTATGTGATGTGTTTATCTGAATGGATCATTAGGTTGCTCTGGAAGTCACAAGAGAGAAATATGTAACAGGTTTTTAATGAATCTTAATTCTAAGGTAATTATTCTGCTTCATTAATGTGGTATTGTTTCAGTTTATGCACTAACGATGCACAAGGCAACTTGTGTACTCGAGTTCCATGTTATTCCAGTCCAAGCAAGAGCTAAAGGTTTGAAATCTGTCACAGACACCAGTAACAATGAAAGAGACAGTAGATCTAATGTTGGAAAGTACAGTTTTCTGGTGACTGAGCAGTCAGTCAGCTCTGTTTAGGAGTTTGAGGTTCTGTCATCATTGTCAGTTTCTCCTGATTGGTGTTTATTCCTTGGTGTTTATTCCGAAACCCAACTGTTGATTTAGGCTCTTTGTCAGTAAATCTTTATATTTTTCTCTGAGAGGTTCTGGAGACAGAGGTTACGCCATTGTTAGGCTGGTGGAGTATACTCACCGATGCTGTGTCGCGAGACTGTCTTGCAACACTGAGAGGCTGACGACTGTCTGGTAGGGCCTCTGAGGGACAGAGAGACAGAGAAACAGGATTTCAGGGAAATCAAAATACTCACACAGAATACATGTATTAACTTTCACACATTGGAGGAGAACAAGTGAGAGCCTTTGACATTTGCCACTTTGGGAGATTATCACCATCATTTTATCCTCTTGAGGATATGTGGTTTGCATAGGAACAGGAATATAAAAATATATACATCCAACTTTGTAAACATTTGGCATTGTTAGCTATATGACAAATCAAATGCTCTGTGGGAGTGGGTTGCTGCCCCCTTGAGAGCTCTGTTCTGCAAAGATTTGGCAAGATATCACACAGAATAGAGGATATTGTATTATGTAAGGCAATGCTGGAAAAAAATCTAATTGGGGCAGTGCAGCTGTATACTGGGCTTTCATCATCAATGACACAGAATTCAGTCTGTCAGGGGGAAATGAAGTGCAAACTGCCTCTGGGACAGTGCAGCATCATAGGGTCTTTATAGTATCAGGTCCCATAGAGCAAAACCATGGATTACTAGTTGCCTGGCAACCATAGGTTGAAATAAGCTTGTGGTAGAGTTGATATGTTATTCTTAAAAAAGACCAAAGGGGTCAGAAAGGTTTTATTGGTTTTTATGACCAAACAAAGTGTCCGTGATCATCAGACAAAGCTTCAAAATATTTGAAACAACTTTTTTTTTGTTTTTATTGACCTTGCAGTAGTGACGTGTAAAGTGCAGCTTGAAATCTGTTAGGTGTGGTTACAGATACATGAAGCACACATCTGAGCGCACATATATACAAACTTTCAAGCAGAGGATGTCAGTGAAACAGTGCTTTGCAGCTTGGTGTTAAGTTACTCTTCATGAAACAGAGAAAGTGAGCAAAAAACAGCACAAAACAAAAAACAAAAAAGATAAATGAAACCAAATGAAACAAGTATGGCAGTAAATTTTTATTGTGTTCGAATACAATGAAACCTGCATGACAAAAACAAACCACTGAAACAAAATGGATGCTAAAACCAAATGGAAGCTGAGAGTGGAGGTAAAATGTAGTGAGAACTGGTCTTCTGGTGACTCTCCTGCAGATAGCACCAGTTGTGTGACAGACCGAGGCAATGTGTCACCTGTGGTTCTCCTTCTGGGGCAGGAGTGGTGCTGGGTGGAGCGGGTCTCGCGAACAGCTGATTTCATCATGCTCCTCTTAGATGGGGATTGAGACTGACTCTCCATTTTTTTGGAAAGCTCAGTCTTCCTTATCACAGCTACATTATCAGAGGAAACAGGGTCATTAACAAAAGCAGAGAGACACAACAATAAGCAGAGACTGACGCTGAACCGTGGTAAAAATATGAAGTGCTGCTGTATAAAGAACTCAAATCACTGTGTTAGTGAGATATTCAGACTGCAGTTTTTTGTGACACAAACAGTTGTATAGGTACGAAATAAACCACAAGAAATCAAAAGGAAAACAAAATAACAAGAACCTTTTTTCTTCTTGACTTCCTCTCTAGGGATGTAGACAGGTTCTTTGCGGACAGGTTTGCGTTCTGGTGTGGAGATTCGACCTCTAGCCCGCCCTCCTTTGGTCTTTGGTTTGACCAGCTTCTCCTGTTTCTCTGGCTTCTTCTGTTGTGTCTGTTTGTTCGGGACCACACCAGGCTTTTTGACTGGGCTGGGCACCTTGGGCAAAGGCTCAATCTGCTCTGTTAACATACTCTTATCATCATCTGCAATGTGGAAAAACAGGACATGAAAAATATAAAACAGGGTTCAATTTGTTTATTTAAGGCAGAAGGAGGAAGAAACGGGAAAAAGATCAGAAGCAAAACCACCAACGAGATCTCACCTTGTGTGTCAACCCAGGAGCTGTCCAGGATGGAGTCGTCCATTGTGGTCTCATCTCTATCATAGCTTTCTGTTGGTTCTTCTGTTTCTATGGTTTGAGCCTCCTTCTCGGGGGAGGCAGGGGTCTCAGGAACATCACCAACCTCCTCTAGACTGGCAGCCTCCATGTCTGCTTCTTGGGCTAACTCCACAGATTCCTCGTCTTCCTCGTCTTCCTCCTTCCGGGCACCGACACAAAGGCCTTCAGCCTCAGGAGGAGCCGAGAAACGAACACTGTGTCCCGGCTCCTCTGCTTCATCGATGGTCTGGACCACAGTGATGAAATCGTCTTCAACTGTCACCACTGATTCGATGGCAGCACGAGTCTCTGGGATCTCTTTCATTCCCACTGCCCCAGCTCCTGCCCCTGCTTTCTCTAACATGTCTTCCTCACCTCCCTCTTCCTCCTGCTCAGCCTCCACAGGTTTTTCAGCTTCTTTTTCAGCAGGTGTCAAGGCTACTTTTTCCTCTGGTTGTCTTGCTATCTCTTGAGGCTTGTCTGCAACCTTTTTGTCCACCTCAGCCACTTTCTCTTTCTCTTCCTTCTCTTTCAGTTCGCTCTCTTTCTTTTCTTTCTCTTCCCTCTCTTTTAGTTCCCTCTCTTTCTTTTCTTTCTCTTCCTTCTCCTTTTGTTCCCTCTCTAGCTTTTCTTTCTCTTCCTTCTCTTTTAGCTCTCTCTCTTTCTCTTCCTTCTCTTTTAGTTCCCTCTCTAGCTTTTCTTTCTCTTCCTTCTCTTTCAGTTCGCTCTCTTTCTTTTCTTTCTCTTCCCTCTCTTTTAGTTCCCTCTCTTTCTTTTCTTTCTCTTCCTTCTCCTTTTGTTCCCTCTCTAGCTTTTCTTTCTCTTCCTTCTCTTTCAGTTCCCTTTCTTTCTCTTCCTTCTCTTTTAGTTCTCTCTCTTTCTCTTCCTTCTCTTTTAGTTCCCTCTCTAGCTTTTCTTTCTCTTCTTTCTCTTTTAGTTCCCTTTCTAGCTTTTCTTTCTCTTCCTTCTCCTTTAGTTCCCTCTCTTTCTTTTCTTTCTCCTCCTTCTCTTTTAGTTCCTTCTCTACTTTTACTTTCTCTTCCTTCTCCCTCAACTCTTTCTCTATTCTTTCTTTTTCCTCTCTTTCTATTTTTTCTCGCTCCTCTTGTTCCATTCTTTCCCTTTCTTTCTTCTCTCTCTCTTCTTTCTCTTTCTTCTCTCTCTCATCTTTCTCTTTCTTCTCTTTCTCTAATTTCTCTTTCATCTCTTGCTCTTTCTGTTCCTTTTCCTTCCGTTCTTTTTCTTCCCTCAGTATCCTCTCTGCCTCTTCTTTTTCTCTTTCCTCTTTCTCTCTCCTTTCACGCTCTTCTCTCTCTTTCATTTCTTTTTTGTTTTTCTCCTCCTCTTCTTTCATTTTCTTCTCAGCTGCTTCCCTCTCTTGCTCTTCTTTCATGTTTCTTTCTAATTCCACTTTCACTTTCTCCTCTTTGTTTATTCCTAACACCGGTGAAGGTGTTCTTTTTGGGGAGCCATAAACCTCTCTTTGTTTAAGCTTGGAAGGTGAGAGCACTGGGGAGAGCAGCTTGTCATCATCGATGTTGCTCTCCACAGATGAAGCAGGTGAAGTTTTCACTGGCCTGGCAATACGGTCCTTGGCTACTCCGGTCAACTGGTAGACATCTTCAGCATCCACTTCCTCATAGGCCTCCTGGTGGACCAGCTTCACCTTCTCCCGAAGCTCCTGCAGTTCTCGTTCCTCCTCCAAACTGAGGGGCCTGTCCTCCATCTCTAATTTGCGGATCTGCCTCTCGTAGTCAGCAATCTCAGTTTCAGATGCTGAGCCTTCGCCACTGGCTTGTCGTTCAGTCTCACTCAGTGACCTCCCTCCTTCTTCTAGAGTCACAGTGACCGTTGGTGTCACAAAGGACTCAGTTGGCTGAGCAGGTGGTTTCTCCTGCTCACTTGCAGATTTAGTCAGCTGACCATCTGCAATCTCCTTGCCTTTTTCTTCAACAGAACCTTTTCTCTCTACCTGCTTCTGGTCTTTCTCTTCAGCGACTTCAGCAGCTCTTGACGGCTGGCTCTTGTCCTCCACAGATGTGTCTCTGACGGCTAATTTCCTTGCCTGCTCAGCCACTTTCTCCTCCAGAACTGAGGGGGTGAAGACCTGTGCAGAAGTGTCTGTAGGGCTAAATACATCTGCAGGAGATGGCATGGGCCCTGAATATTCACTGAACACACAATAGCCCATCTCCTCTAGCTGGCTCTCACTTTTTCTGGCCCCAGGACTCTGTTCCCCTGACACAAGGCTAGCCAGTGGGTCGTCAGCAAAGGCAGGGACATCAGCTTGAATTGACTTTCTCCGGATAATTTCTGGGTCAGTGTTTTCTGATGCCAGTCTAGAACGGGTACCAGCAAGGTCCAACATCTCAGGTAAGTCTTGTGCCATCACTGTGCCATTTTTATAGGCATTTTTAGGGGGCTGCGGTGATTCTGGTGACTCTGGTTCAGGGCTGTGTTTTGAAACCGGTTCAGTGGTCCTTGGAGGAGATGAGGAATCTGAAGTGATGGAAGCTGCAGTCTCCAGGATCAGGGGAGGGAAGGATGGAGGCTTATCCACAGAGGGTGTAGTGACTGGGAGGTAGTCTGCTGACTCATCTAGACTTCCACTAGTGTATGACATGATATCTGTGGCCAGTGGGGAGAAGTTCCTAGGTTTGCCTTGGCCACTCTGATCCATTGCTCCAATGGTGATGTTAAGAGAGTAACTCCTCTGCTCTAAGGCCAGTTTACCCGGGGAAAGTCGGCATTCATTACTCCTGTCGGGAAGTGTGAACACTCCAGTGTCTTCTGGTGTACTTTTTTTGGTTTCAGGTTTATCCTGGGCTTCAGCTAGTGTGCTGTAACTGATCTCCTGAGACCCGGAATCAGTTGTACTCTTCTCTTCACCAGCTGTGCTCAGTTCATAATAACCTTCACCCTTACCCTCATCAGCCTCAACAGTTGATGTTTCAAAATATGCTGACATGCCAGATCTGTCTCTTGTGTCTCTCGTTGAGTCTCCTCCTTGAACTTTGACTCCCATTGAAGAAAAGTCAGAAGGTGCACCAATGCTGCTGAACTCCACCACCTCCACTGACGGCTGCTTCTCTGACACTGTGATTGGTTCACCATATGGAGGCTGAAGCATGAGAGATCTGGCAGATTCTTTGGCTTGGTTTTGAACATTTTGAGGTACAAAGGACGGCATATCCATGGTGGGGCTCTCTGGTACAACTCGTTCACCAGCAAAGAACCCTTGGACCTGGGGCTCAAAAAACTCCTCTGGACGTTTCTCTGATCCAATGCTGTCTGGACTCATGGACCCACTTCCCTGCTTGTCTGAGTCCATCTTCAAAGCTGAAAGGACATCTGTAAGTTGGCTGATTTGATCAACACAGACAAATATTGCTTTGGCATGCTGCAAGTGAGATATAATATTAAGGCAGGGACCTGGAAAGCCGTTATTACAGAAACAGGCAAAGCTGTCCTAGAAACTTACAGCACAATGATACGGCCATCACTGAAGAAGTACGGCGGGATTATGGGGTCCACCAAGTCACAGATGGATGAGAATATGGCATGGTATGTGACGGAACCGGCATGAGGAAACTGTGATGCTGATTTATGGGAAACAAGCAATAACAAATGGGATGGATATCCATGCCACTCTTCAAAACATCAGATACAAAAAGAAATAGCATTTCTGTCATTTTTTTATAAGTGCAATAAAATGTTTTGAGATTGTGTCCAGTTAAAATTTGTCAGTGTTCACATAGTTTTGCTAAGATCAAATAAATTTAGGGTCTTAATAATGACTTTCAAATGTCATTGCACAATTGAAAGAACATTAGCACAATTATGGAAGAACCTTCGTGGTGATGACAGAGAAATGCTCTAACAGTGACAAAACAAACAGAAGCCACAAATGATTTTGAATTTTGCTGATAAAGTAATGCACTTGATGAGATATGGTTCTACCAACAACTGTAACACACTGAACATGAGACAGCCAACACAAAACCCCTTGCAAATTCTGTACACAGAATTATGATAATAATATGAGTGATAAGTATGATTCATGGTATAGTGCGTAGCACTGGCATACCAGCACCAAGCCATATGAAGATATAATGAGAAACCTGTAAGCTTATAGCGGTAACAAAAAGCACTACCACGTTCAGCAATACTTCATCATACCAATACGAAATGCCCGGCCCAAACGACCACAGCAAGAAAAAGAAAAATGCAAGCGCAAATATAACACACAATAAAACCAGGTTAAGTTAAAAGAATGTGACTCTTTTCACCAACAAGCCTGTGTTGCCTTGCAGCCACAGCAGAGTGCAGAGAGAATTACTTGCCATTCCACCTGAATTGTAATGTTTATGTTACAGTATATGCTTATGGGTTCCCTTTGACACATCTGGTGTTCTTATACAGTGGACAATGCAGTAACATGCAGGCAGGGAGAGCAGAGGGCAGGACACACCTGTCTCAGGGCTCTCCTCACCCTCTGCTTCCTCCTCCTCTCTGTCCATTGAGCTTTCTGCAGCAGCACTAACTGCTTCGATCGGCTCCAGGTCTAGGTCCTGAGCCTCGTCTATGGCCTCTGCCTGCTCTAAGGGCTCAGCTTGGGGGCTGTCCAGCTCAGGCTCTTCCCCACTCCATTGCTGCTCATCAAGAGCTGCCTCGGACTCTGCTGCCTCTGCACTCTCCTCCTCCTCTTCCACCTCCTCCTCGTATTCAGCTGTAAGAGCCTCCATGGTCTCTTCTTCTCAAAAACAGGGTGAGAGGGGGACACATTAAGACTACAGGCAACACAGACTTGGCTTATGTGAGAACACAACTTATGATGGGACACTTTCAGCTCTGGGAAAAGATTACCTAAAGTGCTTGTCTGTTCACAAATACAGGTACATTACACATAAAGTACAGAGTGTTGTATGCAAGTGTGTTTTCTACTTTGGTCGCTTAGTGTACAGAATATGTAAGGAATCTATAACGATATATAGCTTCAAGGCATGCCTACAACCTAGATTGACCTAACGTCATTGCTGACTGAGGTTGTTTAAGAAAAATGGAAACATAAATGAAGTAGTAACACTTCATGGACTAACACTGCACTATTGTAGAAGAAACTCTGTTCAGAGCATTTCTGAAATCTCTGCCTGCAGTCCAGTGCAGTAGAAAGCAGAGTGCTTCAGATTCCCGACACAGCACGTACTGGATTTTGAACTGTGTAAGCTTTGCTTTGCTTAGTATATTAATTGTGTTAGTCTAGGACATGCTGCTATGGAGAAATATTGAAGGAGTTAAGGTCTATCAGTGTATTCACTGGGAGGGGGCGGTGGTACAAATGAAGTTCTTGTCTGCTGATGAAGCTGTCCATTCAACAGATTTATTTTGATGATAACAGCCTGAGAGTGGCCTACAACAGAGAACTGAGAGTAGGCCATGTTGTGTACTTGTGTAGCCTTAGTGAAAACTCACTGAGGTCCCAGGTTCTGTCTATGTATTTGGGCCAACAATTTTGAAAAGAAACATCTTGTATCTTGTCGTTTTTAAGAGAATAATAATAATAATGATAATAAATACTGATGTAATTGTTAAGAAGGTTGTATGCGGGTACTTGTGCTGGTGAGCTGAAAGTCTTGGTTGTTGCCACAGTGAGAGTGTACGAGTAGTTAGGGATGAGTATAGAGGGTCTGACACAGTGCAGCATAATTACAGGAATAAGGGGTAGTCTTAAGGAATGAGCCAAAACACAACTCTGGGAGATGATTTGTAGAGAGAAATTTGTGCACAGGGGTCATCAGTCATGCGCGATATCTTTAAAAAAGCCATTTTGGCCTTAAATCATGTCTCAAAAGTCAACCCTGTGGTCTTACTGATGAGAACTGTAGTGTATTGTGTCCATTGACTGAATCACAATAAAACATTGTCCTCCTTTAGAGACATCACTGCTATGTGTTGGACTTAATGGCATGGCAACCACAGGTAGCAATAGCTTTGGGTGAAATAAATAAATAAATAAAAAGAAATATGACTGTTAAACAAATATGAAATTGCTCAGATTTTGAGCGAACAAACATCACAAGGACGCACAAACACACACAAAGACGGACGAAGAGACGAACTGACGGACGGAGAGACGGAAGGACGAGAGGAGGGAGGGATGGAGGGAGGAGGTCAAATCACAGAAGAGGAAACTGGTGTTAAAAAGAGAAAGGAGAGAAAGAAAGAGAGCGGAGATGGAGGGGGAAATGGCAAAGAGGAACCATGCGTGGTTCACCTTCAATCTGTCTAAAGGCCACGGCCTGCCCTGTGGGGCGAGAGCCCGAGTGCGTCCACTCTGGGCTGAACAATGGGTGCTCATAGTACTCCTCGTCGGAGTGGTAGGGGTCGTCCTCGGGCACGGAAACTGAGATGGAGGGGGCGAGGAACTTGCACCTCTCCCGAGAATTTTGGAAGCGGCGGAGAGGGCCCGCCTCCTCCTCATCCCCTACATCTACAAACAAGACAGACACAAGGAGAAGAACTGCAGGGAAATCTGGACACACAGACTGAAAGAGAGAGAGTGAAGAGTGTGAAAAGAGAGAGAGTGAAAAGATAACGGAAACAAAGAAGAAAAGAATAAAAGAAATGGAGAACACGCCAAAGAATGTCCACTTTAAAGGTGAGTTAACATAATATTGATTATTAGAAAAACAGAATGACAATTTAGCAGGGGCTTTTGAAATTTTGGTTTAAAAAAAAAACTAGGTTTGCGCAATTAGTTTTCAATTATTTAAATTTTTGATCTTTTAAACAGCTTACAGTCACAAAACAGTTTTAGACACAAAAAAGTCAGTTTACAAAATTGTTTCAACAACATATTCATTTGGTTTGTGCCTTAAGGGTTTTTTTATTTTGATCTTTGTCATTTTCTGATAAAAAATAGTGAAATGTCATGTCACAGAAGTATAGTATCTTAACTAAGAGATATTTTAGTGGTAGGCTACAATAGAAACAAATTATGATGTATATCTGTTTATTAATTTTTTTGACTTAGCTCCTCATCTGAGATTTGTAGCTATGATAAGACACTGTACTTGGCTGAAAGGGAGGTCATATTTATTCAAAAGTTTATCTGGAGCTGGCTGTGGTCTTTGAATTTTTAAGAAAATATAAAATATAACCAATTTCTTTACTTGATAAATCTATTCGTGACATTTTAAGATGGACATTTTCTGCAGTGAACAGGGAGATAAAGCTTGAGGACAAAAAACAAAAAAAAGGGAAAATTTAAAACAAGCAAAAAAAAAAACAAAACAGAGAGAGTCACCAGAGAGGGGAATGCAAGAAGACAATGCTTGATTGAGAGCAAGAGAAACATAACACACACAGGACACTGACAAGGAGACAATGACAAGCAACTTAAAGGTGACCAAGCTTCGGGGGCCAGCCATACTCTGACACCAGCAAAATCAGTATATTGCATTGTCTGACAGAGATATCGATACAAAATGAATGATTAAACTTTAATAAAAGACCTACAATAAAAAAGTAATTCAACACTTAAAACAACAGTTATAATACTAAAATAACAACACGTGTTTTCCCATTGCTATTACACAAACAAACCTCTACACCTACACAAACCTCTGGATCCAGTCAAACAACTGTCCAGTCAGACATCCTCTAAAAATCATTTTCGAAAAACACAGAAAAACCAATTTGTAGCTCAAAAGGTTATATTTAAAAGACCACTACCTCTGACACCCTGAGATGACCAAGCCTTTCAGTGCCTACTTGTTATGTATGATATCCGCAGGTACTGAATATTCAGGACAACCTCTTAGATCTGAACTGTACAAGTGACAAAACAGACCATCTGTATTTGGTGCATGGCTGGCCCACGCTACAGACTCTCCTCATTACATTCCAGCTACTGCAGACTGAGCAGACGTAAACAGAAAGACAAAGCATAAAGCAGACAGAAGTTTTAGTTGTAATGTACAGCCATTTCTTGTAATCAGCTGCACAAAAATTACTACATAGCTTCAACTAAACTTTGGAAGTCAAATGTAAAGAAAGAAACTGTGTCACAGTGCTAACAGACAAAATGAAAGACAACAAATTCTGTAAAGCATTTAGGTGTAAATGAGGTATTTTCAGCCATTTATCAGCATGGCATTCCTAATCTTGTGACATCAGAGGGCTAGCAGACACTGTTACCTCTGCGCTAGTATGCCTATTTAAGGCTAACTAGCTCACCAAGATGATTCAGTAAATGTAGACTACATTTCTACAGTATGCAGTGGCTTTATTATATTAGCTAATTTCCTTTGTATGCATTACTTTTGTTATTAGGCATCAGTCTTAGCCAGAAAATTTGTTGGCTTGAGCTTGAGGGCAGCTCTGTTTTCATGTTTATAGAGCTAAAACTCTGATGTGTAGCCACAGCCAAACACATACAAAAAGACTGACACAGTGGACAGTGACAAGAAAACACAATGTACACGCAAAACACACGACAAAATTCAACTGAAAAAGACAAACAACAAGAAGTTGAAGGGTTACCTAAATTGGCTGTCATATTAGTGTGTAGGAAGACAGCGAGGTGTGGAGGTTAGAAAAGGAAATGAAAGAAGAGGATGAAAAAAAGAGTGCACTTGATGTAACAAGGTGGTCATGCATGTGAGCCTTTCTTTCTTGAAGAGATAAAGGGTGATGACAATGAAGATACAAATTGTATCTGTCCCAGGTGTACGATGAGGAGGAGGAAGCAGGATTTCAGAAGAAATGGATGTCTGAAAAATGGAAAACATGTTCCTGCTTTTAGCAAATCTGGTATGTAGCAGGTTTCTTGAAGGGGTATCAATATGTAGTTTGCCCCTTAGACGTGGGGAATGTCCTGAGAGGGGGGACTGAAGAGTACCCTGAGAGCCAACCCACATCAGTACCCCAGTGTGTTGCTGACCACAAACCTCCAGAAGCTACAGTCATGGGAGAAAAGGAAACCACAGTCTTCTCCATTAGAGAGATACTCTCATAAACACATTGGCCCTACCTTGTTCCAGAGGACCAAAGTGCTCTGCAGCAGGTGAGGGGGGAGGAGAGGGAGGCAAATTGGTGGTGTCTTCAACTGCAAATGGAAGAGGAAGAGGGAAGAGGAGGAAAGTGCATAGTTATAAAAATTACATACTGTAAAGGGCGTTGAGCATCTGCTGAAAGAGATATCATCTCTATTTCATGCACTCTTCTTCCTTGTCGAAAAGTAGTGCCTACATTACCCACAACGCAACTCAATTGCTGACAGTTCGGTTGGAGATTCTAGGGTGTTATGCAAGGAGCATCTTGAGCAACTAGTGGGCTGCAAGTGACATCGATTGAGGCAATTTATCAGATTTCACTCAGCTCCCCCTGGAGCCATAAAAAAAAGGTTTATAAAGGCTTTATGTGACATTTCCCTTGATATAAGCTATCTGCTTTTATTTGTATTTTGTTTGCTGTATTAATACATCAATGTAAAATATTTTCCTGTATCATCTATCCATCTCATAGTCACTTATTATAATGTTCTCAAAACAGCCATCGTCCTCTTTTAGTGAGGTGAGCAAATGCTCATACATGACTTACACTACTGACTGCAACATGTTTTTAACATACTCTTTGCAATAAGGTGGGCTTTTCAAATTAAGATTGTTCCACTATGCTGCTGCACTGCTCAACTGAACACCTTGCTGCATAACTCTCTGCATCCACAGTTGTAGCTTTAGGTTCACATGGGGATTATTATTATCTCTCCCCAGTCTCTGCTGTGATTAGCTTAGCGTATGCTTACAAGGGGTAACTGTTTACTTTGTAAATATGCTCTTCACAATTTTAATATTTAGATAGAACGAATGGGTGCTCTGGTTTGCTCATACAGTGTAAAGACGTACAGGTTAAGTGAACTGGTGACTCTTTCCCATACTGTGGCTGTTTGAGGGACTGGCGACCTCTCTAGGATTTACCCTGCCTAATGTTAAGCTGGGACAGGCTCCAGCCCTCTGCGACCAATGGATGGAAGAAAGAATGATCTCTGCTACTAACACAACTGTGTGTGCGTGTCTGTATGTGTGTGAGTGTGTGTGTGTGTGTGTGTGTGTGTTTTACCTGATGGCAACCTTTGAGTCTCCTGTTCTCCCTTCAGTACTGCCACAGCTTCTGCCGTCACTTCCTGCACAATACGCGCTGACACTTGCTCTAGTAGACACAAACACACACACACACACACACACACACACACACACACACACACACACACACACACACACACACATATACACACACACACACACAGGGTCAATCAACTTTAAGATTGGAGTTGGAAAGTTTTCATCCATCCATCCAACCATTTTCAACCACTTAATCCGGGGTCGGTTCACAGTGACAGCAGGCCAGGCAAGGTAGCCCAGACATCCCTCTCCCCAGCAACTTCTTCCCACTCCTCCTGGGGTATCCCAAGTCATTCCCAGGCCAGCTGAGATATATAATCTATTATATATCCAGTACTGGATATATATAGTGATTTTGTTCTGGGCCTGCCCCTGGGTCTCCTACCAGTTGGACGGGCCTGGAAAACCTCCACTGGAAGGCGCCCAGGAGGCATCCTAATCAGATGCCCAAACCACTTCAACTGGTTTCTTTCAACATGTAGGAGCTCTTCTTTGAGCTCCCTCCATTTTGGCCTTTTGATATCAGCCAGGCTCAAAGGGCCTCTTTTTTCAGTTTGACGGCTTCCTTCACCACCGGTGTCCACCAGCGGGTTCTCGGGTTGGTACCATGACAGGTAACGATGACAAAAGTTGAAATGTTTAAGCTATTCATTTGTATAAAATCCCAAGACTCCATGTAAAAAAGATGCAATAAAACCCCAGCTGCTCCATTACATCAGGACACTGTGGTTATACTGAGTAGCTTGCAGGTTTTAGTCAGTGAAATGACAGACAAGGTGATCCTAGATGACGACATGATGCTCAGTCAACATTCATGGGATATATCGATGTTAACACATACTAAATTTGTCAAGGATGGATTCTTGCATCCATTTCACTTTACTGTGTTTTTGAATCATGTCACTCAAAGCCTTAGATGAAAGCCAGTGTGAGGGAGCTGAAATTGTTTCCATAACTGCGGGGATGCTAGGGTTGCTGGTGAAGGATGTGAGTGTCACCATGGAAACAAAGCATTCTCAAAAAGTACAGACTGAAAATTAAACCTGGACCAGATGAGAGTGTACAGTGTGAGATAAAAAAAAACACTTTTTTCTCTGTTTTCATCATAGAGGCAAAAAGGTATTTTATTTGCAAGGACTTGATGTTTCTGAAATGCTGGATTTATAAAAATGATTCTAATCCCAGAACTGAGGTATAGACAGTAATACCCACTCTGCAACATTTCAAAAAGGAATCCATGAGGTTTACCTGAAAAGTTTCGATGCATCACTTTAAGTTTAATATTATTTTTGATTTTAATTTGGTTTTGAGCAACTCATAAAAGTCAAAGTCCTAAAAAACTGTACAAAAAAATTATTACTTTTTATCCAGCCATTACACTCACATCTAAGCTGAATCTAAAAATATAAGAGAGAGAGAGGGTACCAAATGCAGAATCGCTAAAATCGAAAGCTGAGGTTATACAGTATGTATGGTATACACTAGATAGTAAACAGATTTTAGATCATTCAATAGACTGAGTCATTTGTAAAGGATTGGACACCATTAGTGCTTAAATACTTGACCTTGGCAACCTGGTACTTTGTAATTTTGAACAGTATTTGGACATAATGAAACTCAACAGTAATTTTGGTTTGGTGTCCATACTTAACCGCTAATTTATATTATCCAAATCTCTATGTAATTAGTTTCTGGCACGAGTCTGCCAGCCTACTTGGGTGGCGATGGATTTAGTGTGAGATAAGGTGAGCTGTTTGATGTTGCTGGATATTTCCGTCTGTTAGAATGGCTGCAGTGGACTATGAGCAGCCAGATTGAACATTACAATCCCCTTCTTTATCTTTCATTCAAGGCGAAGCATCTACCCACTCTGAGGATGACACTGAAATGCAATTACAGCTTGCAGATAAATAAAATTTGATATTAATTTTGTCCTTTTGCAAGAAATTTGAAGTAATATTGCATTTGAACCCTTTATGACAGTGATGTCAACATTTAGAAAGAGGCTGTCAACATTGCCTGGCTGTCTGACACTGGTGGACAGGAAGTGATAAAAAGGACATTACTGTAGGAAAAGGCTTGAGTTGAAACCCTCCAGGAGCAAACTGGAGGTGAATCTTACAGAAAGAAGTGAATCTGTGACAATGATGTATGCATGTGTTTTAATGTGGGAATAGGACTTTTTAATCAATTTTGCCCAAAACTGGGAGCAAAACAGAGACAATTTCCTAAACTGGTCTCTACATTCAAGCTTACATCTGTGTGCGTATATGTGTGTAAGAATCTGTTTAAATATAGTCTGGCATGCAAGGGGACCTGCACAGTTCTAATCAAAAACTGCCTTCATATGCATAGTAACAGTGGCTATGTGGGATTGGGTGGCAGTGTGATGCTTTTACTGCTGCTGTTTCAGGACCTTCTTCTATCCAACATCACCCACACATCAACACAAACAAGCTGGCAGGCATACACACACATGCAATTACACACATACACACACTTCTTCCGGGAACACTTAACACAGCCCACTCATCAACTCAAAGCAGCCATTTCCCATTCTCAGTACCAAAGTGCAATAAACGTGTACCACTTATTGACTGCTTCCAGACAAAATCTTTTCTTCCAGTACTGGAAAATAGAGCTGAAAAGTGTCAATGTAAAACACAATCATTGGGTGTAACCAAATAACTAAAAACAGCCCCTAGAGCTGAGACCTGGGGAAACTAAACCTGCAGATCTGTGTGAATGGTTCCATTTTCTTAGTGAGACAACACCTCCTGTGCATGAAGAAGATACATTAACTATTTCATGTTTCAGTGCCCAATCGTGTGAGCAAACATCCTAGTAGCTCACTGTTGATCAAAGATGTTCAAAGATGGGTTTTGAAGATTTTAGGATCAGTTTCAGACCGTGTTTGTCTAATGGTGTCCATGACAAGTCTCAAAGGTTTATCAAAGCAAGAAGCAAATACATACAGAAGGTATTCTAAACACTAGCACAGAATAGTGGAAGTACAGCTTAATTATGCAGTTGAAACAAATCACATGACACTGTTGACCAGTTGCAGGTGAGGCGCTACTGTATCAAGAGTGGTGAATGAGGAAAGACTCTGCCACCAAGGAAGAGTTTATGCTGAAAATTGGCAAAAGAAGAAATCCATTGAAATGGCAAGTGGAGATAAATGAATGTCCAAAAAAAGAGAGAAAATGCTAACTGAGAGCTCAAGCATTTGCCTTTGGACGATTAAAATAAACACAAAACATGCACTTACATCTTTTTCAGACATATGCCTTAAGTGAAATTCAAAAGCCAAATCAAGAGCACTGGATGACAACACTTCATTAAGATAGCCTGCCTACAGAAAGTTTAGAGTATTTGTAACATTTTAACAGGTTATTAGTTGAGATTCAACTAAACCTAACCCTAAAAACCATGAAATGGTTTACTAATTGTTGGTTGAATATTTGTATATATGTTGTTGAACATTAGAATGTCCAACAAATATAAATACAAATGTCTGTTAAGAATACAAATATATACAATATGATACAAATATAAATTTTACAAATAAAGTGTAACCCACTGGATTCAATAAGACATTATGGTTTGTTTACCCTTTTAAACAAATCCAAAGACATGCACATTCACAAAGCAATAGTACTGTTAAATTGACCTTGTCACATCCACAAAGCTAGCTGGCAGTGATGAAAACAAGCCTGGCCTGGTTGTCTCAGCATTTATATGACAGAGTGATGTCAAATGACATAGCCGCCTGCCTTTCATTGGCTTTGACAGCAGAATAAACCACATGCGCAAACAGCTGCTTTGATGTACAGAAAGGCTGCACCATATCTGTAGATCTACATCAATAACCAAAAGTCAAATCATACGCACACACATATGTACATACGTACACACACACACACACACACACACTCTCCAGTGAGGTAAAAGCGTGTATTACCTTAGACTGAAGCTGAGATCGCTCTCTCTCTCTGAGCAGAGACTACGACTGGGAGCCCTGAGTCAATGCAACACAAAGCCAGACTGCAACACACAAACACACACACGTACCCTCTCTTACACACACACACACACACACACATAGCAAGACTGAGAGGGCACGGAGAGAGCAGGAGTGCTGTTTGGTATGATATCACCCAGCACCCAAAATGTGTAAAGCAAGTGGTTGCCATAGCAACAGACTGCTGGTGGGCCACTGCCTTGGGTCCATATGCAATTCAGATGCCAGAATTATACTGTGGCTGTTTCAGCCTCTGAGCTACTGCGTCTACAGCCTCCAGTAAACAGGAATGATGGCTGTGATGCGGCTGGACCTTATTACTTGATTTCTACTGATACACGACGTAAATCAGAGTAAATCTAACAAAGCCCAGATTTTTTCCCAGTGAAATACATATGATTTCTTAAATATTTTACTAACAAAACAACATAAAACCAAGAACTGATTGGAAAATAATATCTATTGCTATGTATTTTTGACCAGTGAAAATACAACAAACCAGTTACTCTGTATATTCTATTTTCAAACAAAAGCTCAAATTTAATATGAAGATTTCTTGCATGGATTCATTGAATGTAGCCTGAATGTAAAAAAAGACAGGATAAAAGAAGTAACTGTTAACATGTCATTTTACACATGACTGCAAGACGTCACTTGTCAGAAAAACATGAAGACAGGTCATTTTATTTTATAGCACTGAGCTGCATCTGTTGAGGAATTTAGCATCTCTTAATTGTAGATTAATATCTCATAATTACAAGATCTATATGATAGAAATGGCAAAGTCCTTGTTGCACAGTGCATTGGACAGATCATTCTATCATGTTGGTCACACCACATAATCCCATCCATCTGAGTTCTTTTTTTGCAATGCTGAAATGAATGAACTCTTCAGTAGCGGTACACATCACTGTGACAATCTTCAGTCGGACAGTCGTTAGTCACTGCGTCAGACGTCTAGTTCTAACGACAGTTGTCATACAGTATACCGTTCAACTCCACCT